GCATACACAAGAATCTCTACTTTGAGGATCAATAACCCCAAAGTTATCATAAGCAGTGACTGAATAACATTTCTTCTGGGACTGGGCATCACAGAACTTATTTTCATGTCCTGAGAATTCTAGACAGTATGTGGAGCAAAAAATACTTGAAGATGTGACTGCAAATCATGGTGGTGAACGAAGAAGTCATTTGTTCAGGCATTAGGCAGGGTAGAAGGGCTCAGCTAGGGCAAGCTGTACAACAAATTGTTCTTAACCACGTTTTTACAAACGAAGAAACACTTATCTGTAAAGACAATAAAACCAACATTTTAGAACAACTCCCCTGCTCTTATTTTATCTCTCTTTTAAAACTACTCTAAGTAGGGTAAGCAGATACATCCAAGTTTGGGGTTTTTTTGGTGAAGATTGATGAAAGATGCAGAAGGTCAGAAGGCAAACCAGTATTGACAATTTGGGTGCCTGATTGCTTACATTGAGCACTGTCCTATGCAGGTACCAAGACACTCAAAGAGAAGGCAACAGTTTCCAGAGCTGAGATGGTCAAACTTTGGATCACAGCTTTAAAAACTGCCAGGAGAAGCAAGCTCCAGGCTTTAGAGACACAGCATTCATGGCAGGAACAGGGTGGGACTGGGGATGCTCAGTCAAAAGCAGGTTCAACATGGATACACCACAATGAAAGGTCAGAATTCATTACACACAGAGGTGAAACAATTTTCCATACCAAAAGAAAACAGAGTTAAAGGTAGGAAGGAGGGAATATATTAGCTAGACAGTTTGACTAACAGAAACTCACGAGTTTTGATTTATGTTCTATACACTATAAATAATGTTTTAGTTAACATGCTTTCCTACCTGCTCCTGCAAAAAGAGTTATTGTATACATAGTCTCAATTTTATATGTCTTCCCAGTTTCAGCAAGAGGCATCTGGAGCTTTGAAAGTAATCACACTATAGATAATGTAGCCTGTTGGCTACTAAGAAATTTGGTGAAGTTCTAGAAATGGGAAATAGAAATTAAAATATGAAAAACCATTAGAAAATGAGCTGGGGCCTTATAGAAGCAGTACTATTAAAATAAGCTCCACTGCAATTAGAAATGAGCCGACTCTGCTTCATTTTCCTGGAGTAAGGTAATCTTATATTAATAGATCAAGAAATAAATTGGTGACCTTCTCTCTACAAGGATGATCTGCTCCTGGAATTTCAGTTTCTACTTGGCTTTCCAGCTGCAGGTACTTCAAGATGCCCATGGAGAAGAAAACATGCCAGTTTTCCATGAGTTCAGGTTTTATCTCAGAGGGAAAACCACACCTTTGTGACATTGTAACCTTAGATTACTCCCTTCAGCTGTCATTTAGAGCTCCAAAGTGATAAATGTTGCATTACAAACAGAAATAAAATTAATTATAAATTTCTACTACACTTCTTACACTTGTATTTTCTTGACTTGATAGAAGTCATCAGAGGTGTACTGCTAAAAGACAAAAACAATGACTGTAAATAAGATCAAGGAATATTTGATCCAAAGAGGGGGAAAAATTTCCTGAAAGTGGTGCAGTGTTGGAAGAGATGAAGCTGTGTGATCTCCATCCCAGAAGATTTCAAAATGCATGAGCAATTTCATCTGGCTTTGAAGCCAGCTCTGATTTGAGCAGAGAGGAGGTCTAAGGACAGCCTATTAATTCAAAAATCATGTTGTTAAAACTTTGATTAATATTCAATAGCATGTAAAAATATAAAACCAGTTTTCTTTATGCAAGGTCAGAGAACTCTTAGGGAGCACCTTCCCTGTCTGTGGATCAACAGTAGCATCACTTCAGAACTTGCTAAAAACGGAGTATGAACTCATCTTCATCTGAGAAAAGAAAATCATCAAAAATAGAAAAAAATCACTAAGACACAGATGTTTTTATAGCATTTTTTATATTACAGTGCAAGGATTGAGAGGAACTACTACATTCCTACAAAAAAGTGACACGAGAAACTCTAGCGAAAATCAATACTGAAATTAGGATGACAGAAAAGGTGTGTTACAACAGACAGACCTCCAGAGCTCTGCGCATTCTAAAAATGCAGCTTTCATTTTCTACTTTTTAATATATCCCCCAGGCCTTCCTGAGATGACTGAGGTCCAGTACTTTTCATTAATAATTTTCAGGACTTTTAGCCTAAGATATCTGCTAGCAAATAATTCATTATTTCTGTCTTAAATAACTGTTTGTAGTCCTCGTCATGTGAGTTAAAAAGAAACAAACAAAAAAAAATTGAAATTCATATTTGGACATTCATACAATTTTGAAAATAGAAACAAACAAAAAAAATTGAAATTCATTATTTGGACATTCATACACTTTTGAAAATAAAGTACTGCATTACGCAAACTCTGTTTCAAACAATGCATTTTTATATGTAGATGTGCACTGAGAGATGAGGTGTTGTAACATCTTACAAATCAAACCTCAATTCACACTGTATTACTTGCACTATATATTTCCTTAAAGTCTTTAAGTGAAATTGTTCTGCTGTAGAATAGAAATATGTAATACACACTGTGTTCTTATTTGGTGAAACCTTCCGTACTCGCAGCTGCATTTCCTTGACAAAAAAATTGCTTTTTCTTAAAGCCCAAAGCAGTCCACAAAGTCAGAGAAGGATATTTTTACAGATTAAGAGACAGGAGTGAATGGAATTGTTGGTGAATATTATAATGGTCCTTTATTTTCTTTTGTTATTAAGAACCTTAAAATTTTCCTAGACTGACTGTGCAGTTGAATTCCCTGAGGATTACAGACGTTAGAAGAGAATCCCCAGTCTGTACCAAGAGTGAGTACAACAAATATGTGGTTTCTGTCTTTGGTGTAAAATCATCTGGGAACTGGCAACAGCTGTGTGGTCAGAAAGATGGTCCCGAGGCACCAGGAATAACCTGTAATAATTCTACAGTGCCACATCTAATCTTCCAGCATAGACACTTGAGTTAAAGAATGACTTTCAGTTGGCGTTCCTACTGAATAAGGTTGAAACAGTAATAGTTAAATATATGTTGCTAGCTGTATTTAAAAACTTAGCAGTGCACTTCAACAGAGTTAATGTATTCGAAAACAGCAGGCAGGAAAGGCTTTAAGTAAAAAGGAAGATAAATGCTGCTTCATCTGTCCATCAAAGCCTGAATTTAAACTTAAGTTACACCAGGAAAAAAAAAAAAAAAAAAAAAAGTTGAGTATAATCCAAGTAGTCTAAGAAAGGAGGGTCACAGTAAATTACCAAAAAGCACAGTGTGATTGATGTCTGCCAAGGGAATAACCATCCACATCAAGGCTGAGCTCAGATACCCCCATGGCACAAAAGTGAAGAAATCCGCTTCACCAACAGAAAGAGAGGGGTGGCTATTCTCCAGGTACATCTACACTAAAGCTCTAACATTACCAAGGAAATAAAAACCACATTTATTTTAGTGGTAACAGTCAAACTTGCACTCAAGTAAAATATGGAAGATAAAAGCAAGAAAAGTCATCTCTGAGAACAGACAATCAGTTGCACATGTCTGGTCTTCTTTTTGTTTCTCACAGAAGTTTAAACCACAGAATTTCTATGAAATCATATCAGCACAGTGAAACATTATAATGGAGACAGCAAAATACAAATGAAGATGGAGTGTAAGCAGATGTACCTCTATTTTTAACTCAGTTGAGCTGTCAGGTCTGCTAAAACTTCAGAATTCCTCCAGCCAGTGACAGTTTTGTTTAACACTGGTAATATTTACCAACAACACAGCAGGTGCTGCAATCTCACTCTGAGGTCACCTGTTCCAGCCAGGAGCTTGTCCCGCAGTAATTGCCATGCAAAAGGTTCACAAATTTTGCACAGAACTTTTGAAGCAAAAAAAGGAGGAAATTTCAAAGCCATTCAGAACCTTAGTAGGGTTTGATGGTCTCACTTCCATTTGCCAGTTTGCAACGTCTTGCTCCTAATAAGGAGCAATTCCTTTCATATTAAAAGTTAGTGCTTTACTATTTGAAAAACTATGTGCAGTACTTCAGCTTCAGCTCAAAATACAACAAATATTTTACAAAGCTTACTGGCTATCCATATTACCCACAGCCGCTTTTACAAGCAATCACATAGGGGCAGATCATATAATAAAAAAATGTTTGGAGTTTGGGTATTCAAAAGACAAATTGTAACGATTGTAATTTTTCTTATATATACAAATTATTTTAAAACAGATATTTGTTGAGTTTTTTTTCTATTTCTTAATATCTTTGTTCATTTCTTCCTAGGTAGATATCTTATAAAAGAATATTTCTAGTCAGCTGTTTACTCAAATATTTTTTTTTCTTTTTTCTTCTTAGTATTTATAGTACAAACAAAATACAATACAACAAAAATTGTTGTGTTTTGGCTTTCTTTTAGTTATTGTAGGAAATCCTTAAAAATCATGACTAGTTTGTTTTGTTTTATTTTAGAGCCAACTCCTTTCGTGTTTGTAAAGATAAAATTTATAAATATACAAAAAAAAAAAACAACCCACTGGGAACACATATGGATGTGTTCAGATGAATAAAACTTGTAAAACCAGGAGTAAAATAATCAAATCAATCTCAAAACTGTCAAATACTTTCACACTGATTCATGATGTGAACATCAGCTTCTGATAATTCACCAGATTTTGTGACCACACTGTGCAATAAAAATTCACCAATGTAAATGGCAATGCCTCTCCTTTGAACAAGTCAATAACTCAAAGACCCCAAAAACAAGTATGACATTCTTCCAGGAATAAGCACTATCCAAAAGCATAGGTAACAATGGTTGAATGGATTTTTGTTATATTAAATTATTATCAGAGCCACAAAAAAAGCAGTGAGGACATTATTTTCAATGTTCTGATCAATCCAAGATTTCATTTGCTGAAGTAAGTGGAAATGAATTAATCTGCACCACCTCAGAACCAGCTCCCTTGGTGTTTTATACAAGTCCAAAGTCCACATTACCTTATGAGATCAATAGGCTGAAACTTGTAAAACACTCCATATCTTGCCCATTCTTGATACAGCAACTAAAGAAAGAAAGAAAAAAAAAAAACAAAAACAAACCCTACTGAAAATTAAATTGAAACAAGTTATCCCTTCTGTTTTCTCAAACATCTTCTAAGAGCTAAAAATATGTGCTGCACTCCTGGGGCTGCTAAACCCAGCCCATACAAAAGCCTCTTGTGTCCCCATGCTGGGGATATCACACAAGGCCACGTCTGCTGCTGGACATGCAGATTCTCCCCACAGCTTACAGAGAGCTCAAAGGAAGGACCAGATTCTACAGAAACTTCTTGCAGGGGGAATCCAGCTGGAAGAGCAACAGGGATAAAGGAAACCTTGCAGGACCTGGGGTAGATTGACCACAACACACTCAGCTGCAACAGGCAAAGAATTTGAGATAGTCTTGCTTATTCTCTCTTTCATTCTTGTGGTTTATGGGACACAGCTTCACTGAAGAGGATTGTCCTGGCTGCCATAAGGATATTTTGATACGAATACTTGTTCTTGCCTATTCTAAATCACCCCTTGACATTGCCCCCAAGCATTACCTACAAAATTTTATTTATTTCCATAAAGAATCATACTAAAAAATGCATTCACTCATCTATGCAAAAGAAGAAAGTTAAAACTATTACATTCCTAAATCTCCCCAAAGGCTGCCTTGAACACAGCTACAGAATAGACTTTGAAGGGCAAAAAGAAAGGTCTGTCTAAAATAGCATTCCATTTAGGAACAGGTACTTTCTGTAAGTTTATAGGAATTTTCTGATCTGCTTCTAATAATAGGGATGCTGCTCTAGTGTATGACAACAGTGGATTTCCCAGGTGGGTTACAAAGCCCTCATGGATTTTTTTAATGTCAAACATAGAGACAGCAGTGAAGGGTTACAAGTTGCCAGTGGGCCAGAAACTTAAAGACTAAACCAGTGTTTATACTCATGGTGAGTTATTACCATTCTGCTGCTCAATACCATTCATAAAAATACTTTTTTTTTTTTTTTTTTTTTTTTTTTTTAGCAGAAATCACAGTGAAACTGGGAAATTCCTTTAGTCTTAGGAAAAACTGAAACCCTCTCAGCATAAGTTTTTCATTGCAGATTTCTAATTCTTGTAGGATGGGACAAAAGTGTTGTGTCACTGTGCATTTTCTCCAAGGAAATCCTGAAGAAAGTTCATAAGGATTGACCTTTTATGTTATAAACTGGTACATAAACCTTAATTACTTGTGCTGCCCTATTGTCTTAAGTATCCCATAAGGACTGAGTTCATATTTGTGGTTTTTACAAGAGAAAATTGAATTCAAAGATACAGATAAATTAAAGTGGGCAAAATAAAAGGGAACAGAAGAAAAAAAAAAAAAGCTTAAAAATACCCTCCTTTCTTTTAAACCTGATCAGGGTTCTTCAGGAAATTAAACACTGAGACTATTAGATTCAGATAGAAAACAGATGATGGTATTCATAGGAATACTACAGAAGATTCAAGGTCTAGGCAGCAGAGACATATGTGAATAATCAATGAAGTATTTCTGGAAAGAAGCTTTTATGTTTTTAATACTTAACACTTCATAACTGAGCCTAATCAGCAGAATAAAAAGAGGGCAGCACAAAATACAACTAGTAGGCAAAATATTTTTCCAGACACTGTTCCTTCTAGGCCCTCTTAGGCCCTCTTCCCCCCCCCCTTCCACTGTACCCAATTTTCCTCCATTGACTAATGTTCATTTAGGATTTTTTCTGTAAAATATGTGTTTTCCAAGTCAGTAATCTGTGGAGCTGCCTGTCAGAGAAAATTCTGCAAGTCCATAGGAGACGATGCCTTTATGAACAAAAAGTTCAAAGTAACAGACACAAATAAATGAGCTTCTTTTATAGTTGGTTTTCTAACTTTGTTTTGCTTAACAAGGTCATACACTAAATTAAATTGTATACAGCCCATGAAGACATCTAGTGGCTGAATGGAAACATTATTTACCCAAAAAGTACAAAGATTGTATTTTCAAATTTTACTAATTCAGCATTGGAGAAAACAGATTTATTTGTATGACCTCCGTTTATATGAACTCAGTCTTCATAGTATAGTAAATATTGGATGTTTCCAAACATTCCCTTTTTCTTCATTCTGCCCTCTTCCCCTATCTCTCCCTACTGTTTTCCCTCTGCATGTCCTATCCCATTGTTTGCATATCAAGAAAAATAAAATGAGCAAACATTAAAGAACAATATGGAAAGATTACTTATTAGTAATCCATAAAACTAAATAAATTATTTAATAGTAATGAAATGGGTTTTTTCCCATTTCTATAAGTAAGCATATATATTAAACACAGTTTGAATTAGCACTGTTTCTCTTAAGGATTGATCTATTTTTGAATGTCTTTTGATAGCTAGAAACTTTATTTACAAAATAATTAGAAGCAGATTTTTAGAAATTGCATGCAATTTAGTTGAATGCACAATCAAATGAAAAGTACAACTATATTTTATTTTAATAACCACAGCTCTCTAGGAGCATTTGGTCAGGAAAATAAAAATATTATATGAGTTATTTAATAATTTTAGCTTCGTGACAGGTTGAAAATCTTGTATATGTATGCAGAGAGAATCTGGAAGCATTTCAAGATGTAAATTTCAAATTAAATTAACTGACATGCTTCATAAGCAGACATTATAAAAATCTTGGAAAAACATTTTTAAATGCAGAAATAGAGGAAAATATGTAATTCAAAAAGTGTATGCATTTGTCAAAACACCTGCTTTTTTGTACAATGGCTAATGCTTTACAATGAGATTTAGAACATAATTTGTTACAATAAATATAATATGAAATAAATTTTGCAATGTATTTTACCTTTCTTTCATTCATGTCATCATTTTGGCCTTCATATTCACCCTGGAGAAAGAAAATAATTTAATAACTGATGTAAAAGCAGAAAAAAATAAAGAAAAGTTTGGTTACCTGTTCCTACATTGTTAATTTTACTTTTAGGTCACAATTTGAAATGTACTTATATAAGAGTTTTCATATTAGAATCACTCTTAGAAGAGATTTTCAGTGTCTCAGACAGCAAATAAGAATGTCTGTGAATGGATGTCTCCTGAGTGACACCAGCAGAGGACTGGATTTTTTCATAGTGCATACATACATCGTGAAGTGGGTAGGCTGCATCATAAACATTGTTTGCTATTAACGTGCCAATGCCTAAAAGAAAAAGAAAAATTCAGGTGGTCAACAGGCACAATTGAACAGAAAACATTATTACAGATTTCATTTCATGACAGAGAGGACAGCGCTTTGTAACTAACAATATTCAGAATGAGAAAAGAGCCACATAGGGTTCCTGGCTGTGGAAAATGTTTTTCAGAGAAACTCACTTCCACAAAGTGCTTTTTCTTCCGTGGACAGCACAGTGCAAAGACTCTTCTGATCACTTTCTCACCCTGATAGCAAAGAGCCACATGACTGAGGAGAAAAGCATCCAGAAGTCCTTCTTGAATCTTTACAATGGTCAGAACTACTGATCCCACTGGCCAACAATTAAAAACAACCCCCCAAAAACTTCCACAGAAGTTTGTGGTTATGAAATTGTAGAATGATTTGGGTTGGCAGGACCTTAAAGATCAGCCAATCTCTGCCCCCTAGGCACACCTTCCACTATCCCAGGTTGCTTGAAACCCCATCCAACCTGGCCTTGGACACTGCAGGGAGTTTAGTTTTGCAAGGGAATTCCCAGCAGTGACTGCAGCACCTGGAGACAGACACAAGATCCCTACTGGCTCTCAAGACCTGCAACTCTTACAGCAATTCCATCTTCAGTCTCTGAAGGTGAAAACAATTGTTCCATAAAAAGGCAACCAAAGATGAGTAATTTCTAATTATTAATTATATAAATAAATATAGATATATAAATTTATTCCAGGCCTCTCTGCTTTCAATGCCCAGAAAAGCAAGTAACTAGCTATCATGTATTTAGTGATGAAAAACATTCCATAGTCAAATAACACATTGTCCTGAAATATTTGGGAGAAACCTTCTGGTCAGAGATGCTAGACAGGCAGTACCAATAAATGTCTTCCTTGATAGAAGTACAACTACATGAATTCATAGAATCGGGAAATTATGCTTGGATAGTGACAAGCCTGCTCCTGAAAATGTTCAGTGTTTGGAAGTTTACAGTGGCTCAGAGTTATCTAGAGTTATCTAGAAGAAAATAAGCCTTCCTTGTATAATATCATAGGATCAGAATCAGGTTCAGCCTTACACAGATGTAAAATAATCCACAAGCAAATGTGTTTGAAGTATTGTTATTTTCATAAAATAGGTCTATAAAACCAGACTGCTAGAAGCACTTCCAACATCACTGTCCTACCTCTTGTATAAAATAAGCAATGAATTCTAAACAAAAGAAAAAAAAATTAAAAATCTTTTAAACCTCTCCTGATGAGTGGTTTTAAGCTTAAGACCAGTAAGATGGGAAAGCCTTAGTGACGTATGAAACAGAGGTCTTTTGTGGGAGGATCTCAGAAGATCAAAGGAAAAAGTGAATTTAGATCAAACATGATGCACAATCCTGTTTTGGCTACAGACCAGAAAGATGGAAAGGATGGGAATGTTAAAATAGTTATTTCATGTCAAATGAGTTCTTGAGCTGACCTGAGCTTGAAGTGTATCAGGCTGTATTTTCATGCTAGAGTTAAAAAATCCCTGAAAAAGTTATTAGTAGTCCTTTGATCTCTTATCATGGGTTATTCCACTATAAACCAGGACAAGCTATTAAAGTAAAGAAAACCTTAAGTAAGAGGCAAATATCTCCATTGGCAAAGTGCTCTGTCCCTTCCTATTCTGTCCTTGAGCTTCTCTCCAGTTTTCTCCACAGCAAATTCCAAAGTCTCCAGGAGGGTTCCCAGCACTCCAGAAAAATAAGACAGCATTCCCCTCTAGTGTCCCACTGGAGACTTTTGAGCAGATCAAAACATAGAACAACACGAAGTAAACAGCTTAAAAAGCAGCAACTGCCAAACAATGTTTTAGAAATCAAGAATGCCTGACATCTTTAAAACCGTATTTTAATTTTTTTAAAGGAAACAGTGTGGCAGTCATAAATCTAAAAGTTTATACTGGAAAAAGGCAAGTGGTTTTGGTTGAAAAAGAAAAAGCTTTTTGTGTGGCTTTCATTTTGTTATGCTTTTCATGTAATTTCAAATTTAAAAAAAAATTTAAGAAAAAAAACAAAATCTATCTCCTATTCAAGGAAACCTAAATTAATCTATTTTCCTGTACAAAAAAACCACATGTGTTATTGGAGCTTCCCTGCCCAAAATCACACCAGGATTGTGCAGAATCTTGCCGCAGCACATTATTTGCCAGGAGCGTTACCCTTGGACACTGTGATCTGTCCATAGGTGGTCGAGCTTACAGAAGGATTTCCAGAAAATATGTCAGGGAGTATCATCACTTCTTTTCCATATGTGCCATGATCTCACAATGGGTGAGAGAAAAGAGTAAAGAAAAGAGAATATGTACACCTGTATAAATTCTGAATCTCAAGAAAATTAAATCAATTCTGAACCTCAAGCTCCAAGTATTTCAGCATTATCCCAAAAGTATCTTCAAAACAGTCATATTCAAGTCATATATTTCACTAGACAGCTCAGGGAGGTAATTTTTAAAGCTGAAGCAATAAAAAAAACCTGGAAAGGTGAATTATTCAATTGAAATAGCAAGAAAAATATAGTCCAGCAAGATATAATACAACATATTGCAGTTGACATCTGAATTTTCCAAAGCAGATCATACAGTAATCAAATCCAATTTTATAACAATTCATTAAATGTGAGTTATGTGCCAGATGCTGCACCTGTAGAAATGAAAAGCCAGCTCCCATTACCATCCAAACCATGGGCTAGAAATTCAGATTTTATGCCTCAGAAAAAAAAAAACCATTTAGTTCAATCTCAAATTTTTTTTTTCTTTTGGGAATGTGTGCCAGCATATTTTGTGTCCTGCCAGGAAAATCAATATTCCGTGAGATACCTAAAAAATTCCATTCAAAAGAACACCTCTAATTCTCTTTCCTCCACCTTACCCATGCTGTTTCTGGCCTTTGTAGATGTGCGCTTCAAAATTTCCCTCACCTGCAAAAAAGAACAGTGGGATAACACACAGATCCTTTCTTAGCATGAATTTCATAATGGAATTAGCAATAAAACAAAGTTCTAAAATAGGTGGCTTCTGCAGTGTTTGTTTGCACAAATATTTAAATCATCTAGCAGATTTTATTAATGGATTATCTGCCCTAACATTTGTGGGCTAAAGCCTGCTGTGTATGCCTTTATAGAAGAATTTAAAGTATAAGAACTATATGGCAGGAAATCTAGTTAAAGATTAGGAACAGGGCTGAAAAGAGTTTTGAACACTGAAGAGGAGTCAATAGCTTCCCTGCAGAGCATTTCCCACTTCTGAATCACCGTGCAGTTGCAGAAAGGAATTCCTTACATACATATATGTCAGGAATTAGTGTGCAGTGAGAATACACAAATGCATAAATTAATGAAAACAGCAAAATTGATACTAAAACACTCCCTGTAAATTCTATTCTAAAGCCCACTAGCAAATCCCACTCAGAAAAAGAAGACAAGGATATGTTATTTTCTTACTATTCGGCTGCGGGTTGCATTGTCAAAAAAAGTGTCTTTGTCTTTGATGTCATACCTAAAACATTGAGGGAAAAGAAAATCAGCTCTGTTTCAAGACATGGAAGCAATACATAAGACAACATATAAGATTCTAATTTAGAAGTCACTCAGAAACCACAGCTAATCAGAATAGTAGAGGTTTAATGGGAATATAGATGACATAGTACAGCATAACAGAATGTGCCGTGTAAAACCTACTCATTCAGAGCTCTACCAGGATTGCACTGATGGTGGGCATAAAAAAGCAAAATTATTAGCTAATATAAAATGCCTTTTGGGGAAAAACAACCTCTCTATTGCTTACAGAAGATGACCTTTTAATATTTTTCTTATAGCATCCCCTCAACACAATAACATGCTGAGGTTGTGTTAGTTAGTAGATTTCAACCAGCCTGATGCAGATGTTCATTACTCTTTTTCTAGCCACTAAACAGTCAGCATTTCACTTGATTTCAAATAACCATTCTGCCATAATTATGCCTTCCCTTAAACCTCAAAATCATCATATGTGAAATTAGCTTCCCAGTATATTCTCCTCCATCAACCATCAGTTCTCCACCTGACTCATATGCAGAATTAATTAAAATTGTCAGAGGGCCATAAATGAAATGGTGGGTCACTGTATTTATTACTGAATTTTATTTATTGGACATAAATACAAGGAGACACCCAGCAGGAAAAAAGAGTGTTTCATGTCAAACTGGGCCCAGAAACATTATTCTGAGTGAAAGAGCAGATGTCAAGAATTCCTTATCTGCGTATTATTAGTTGAGTTTTAATTGCTATAATAAATCTATCAAGATGGAAAATACCACTGCATTTCTACTAGATCTTGCTTTTCTCAAAACAGGCAGTAATATTCTTAACCAAATAATCAGGAATTTGGTGGGAGGATTTCTACATTTCAAGCTAAACATATGGAAATTTATTTGATGCACTGCTTCCAGTGCCTTATCCCACAGAAGTAGAAGGAACACCAGCATAAAGTCTCTGCAGCTTGTATTTCTGCTAACCCACTGAAAAACTGACAATTTTGGTTCTTCCCTCATGATTTCCAGATATGCTTGATGAACTTCTGAATTTTGACTGCAATGAGGGAAAAAGAAATTACAACTCTAAAATGATACATTCCAGTTTTCTTCACTGTCCATTGTCGCTGTTGAGTAAGAAACAGCACAGACTCACTGGAAGGCTGGTTTGCACAGCAGCAGCTTTAATATGAAAATTCTCTCTTTTTAGAGACTGTTCCAATACATTTCACCTGATTGGTTAATTAATAAAAATACCTTTTTAATAAACAATCTTTGAGAAAAACAGGAAAACAGAGAGTAGAAAAACACCACCTGCAGGTTATTTATAATAACAAGCCATCATCATTTCTCTACAACTCCCAAAAGTTTCACAAGTCCGCCATGAGGAAACTTATCTGGTTTTCTCACTCTCTGACCAGACTGTCACATTCACAGTCCATCACATTTTCAAGTACTCACAAATATATTTTCTCTCTGGAAAATGGGTAGGACAAGGTTTTCATCTTGGTATTTTCTTGCTGTGGCACCTGGGGTTGCAGAGGTTCAGTCAATTTGCACCATATTTCATTTAACGTTTTGAGTATTCCCTTTTCTTCTGTGATTTCATACATCTGAAGAAATAAAACTGTACATTAGCATGTCCCTTCCAAAATGACATTAAAATAAAGAAAGGAAAAAAACAATTTGCTGTACACATACGTTTAAACCTGTAATTAAAAGTAGTGTCTTCTCTGAAGACATATTCCCATATAACTCTAAACACCTGAATCCATATGGGTTGCAGTTCTAAAAAGTTCTTGTCCCTCACAAGCTAATTCCAAAAAAAACCCCAAAACCTTAGTGCAGAATTATTAATACAATAAAAAAGGAAATCAGTTCTTCACCCAGAGCTCCAGGTATGTGCTCATCTCACAGTTAAACCACCTGTCCAGAAGGATAATATTAAAATATAATAATATTAAAAACTTCACTAAAATCCAGGAAAAAAAGAGTTACATCTACTACCTTCCTCTCATGCACTAGCCAGGGAACCTTATAGTAGAAGGATATATAATTAGTTGCCAGGTCTTTTCCTTTGTGAAACCTTATTCTGTGCCTGAGGAATGTTTTGTCCTTCAAATGCCTTTCTGCTGTAGATGGTATGACTTTCTTCATAATTATTCCAAGTCCTGAGATTGGAATATTAGGGATGTCATTTCCTGGCTCTTCCCTCGTGTAAATTGTAATAACAACAGGTAGCTCCTATTCAGCAAGTACCAAATCCTTTGGGAGTGGATTGAATGGGTGCTGCTAATTCCTTCAGTACTCTAGGATCAATTCACAAGGCCCCATGGACTTCCGGACATCCAGTGGATACTGATTCTCCCTTAAAAATTCAGTGGCCACAAATGGAAAGCCACAAACTCGTCCCACAGCTGCAGTCCTCTGCCTCAGGACCAGGCAGTCCAAGATAATTAGTATTAAAGGCTGAAGCAAAAAAAGCATTGAAGGCCTCATTTTTGCATCAACCCTGTTTGTCAGCTGACCATTTCCAACAAGGATTGGTCCAATATTTTCCTCCCACCTTCTCTTGTTATTAACATATTTTAAAAACTCTTTTAGTTGTGTGGCACAATACTGGCTAGTTTGAACTCTAGATGAGTTTTGGCCTTTTGTGTTTTCTCCCTGAATATGTGAACCACAGCTTTGTAAACTTCCTGTGAGGCCTGGCCTTGCTGCTAGAGATGGAAAATTGCTTTTTCTTCTCAAGCTCCACGAGGAGCTCCCTGTTCAACCAAGCACTCATGGAGCACTCAAGAGCAGATTCCCAGGGAGCAGTGCTGAGTTGCTCCCTGAGTGGTTTTGAGCTCTCCTGAAACCTAGAGCAACAATTCTGCTGACCTTTTTTGTTCTCATTAGATTGACTATTTTAAATTCAGCCATTTTATGGTTGCTGTAGCTAAGGCAGCCTCCTACTATCGCATACCCCACATGTCCTCCTCTGTTCACAAGTATCTAGTCTGGGAGGCCATCTTTTCTGACTGGCTCATGGAATTCTTGTGGCAAAGCATTATCTTCAACACCCTTCAGGGATTTCTCAGACTTGCTTGTCACAGCAGTGCAGCATTCCCAATTAATGTTTGGGAAGTGGCCACTTCCCACAAGCACAAGAAATTTCTCCTGCTTTCCTATGGAATGATTCATCAGTCCTACAGAACACTCAATGACATCTGCCTTGTTTTCCATCCCCCTAATCCTTACCGAGCACATGTCAGCCTTATAATCCCCTAAATGCAGCTACTCCCTTCCACACAGGACAACTCCTCCACCTCTCCATCTCTGCCTATCCCTCCTGAACAGCCTTTACTTCCTATCCCAGCAGTCCAGTCACAGGATTCAATTCCTCAGGACTCACTAAAGCCAGAGACATTGCAGCTCTGGCCACAGAGCAGCCCTCCCAGTTCTTCCTATTTGTTTCCCATACTCATGTTCAAGCCTGGCACAGTCTCACTCACCAAAATAGCTCTGTTACCATATCCAGAAGTTTATATATAGTTAAAAGGGCTCAGAGGGTATCTTTTCCCAGCATGCCTTATAGTCTGAAAGACTATTTTAAACTGAATGTCTGGTGAAAAAAACATTTGTAACCAATTCCTGTTTAGAGGTGGATTAATACTTTCCCCTGAAAATGCCTTTTATTAATGGTTTACAGAAAATACCTAAGGTGCCTTGAGAGCAGTATTTTGTATCTTTGAACAAAACCAGAACTTTCCTTTTAGTGGTTACTGGATTAATTTTTTTTATATTGCCAAATCCCCAAAATACAAGATTTCACTTTTTTCAAAATGGATTTCTTTTTTTTCAAAGGAAATTCCTCTTTCAATTGTTTTTAATTTCAAAAAACACCCAAACCCTAGGAAATGAATAGAGCTTTCCTGTCAAGCTTGTTTCTGGTATTGCTGTCATTTCTGCAGCCAGAGATAACAGAGGATTTTTTTATTTTTGGAAATAACAGAGGATTTTTTTTCTCCCAGTCAGAGGAGAGAGGGGAATGCAGAATGGTTGTGAATGAGGAGGGTGCTATCAGAGATTATCAGCTACTGGACAGACCTTAACCCAAGCCAAAGTGATGGCAATACTTATCAATTAAAATAGTGTAAAATTTACTTTGGTGCATCTGCAAAAAACTTGGAGGAGAAAATTCCCATGAGAGCAGAAGGAGGGAGAAATAAGCAAGCACTAAAAATGCATAAATGGAATTAATTTTTGAAGAGATCAAAGGGAAGAGTTGAATATGTAGAAAGTTTCTAGGAGTACTGCAGCTATCTAAAACCTACTAATTTTCAAAGATTGATTGGAAATATCCTTTTTTTTTAATCCTGGGATGCAAACACATTGAAAATATGCAAGACTGATTTGGCCAGTCTTCTGATAATGACAGGTTGTAACAGCATGAAATGTGAACCAGAGTGAAGCTTTTGGTGGGTGAAAATAAGATGAAAAACTCAAAGATCAAACAACGCAGTGGGAGGAAACAAAATCAATTTTTTCCTTTATTTCTAATGACAGTGCAAAGAAATAAATGTTCTTTAGTACAGTTAATGTTATCACTAACTAAAAGCGCAAGGCAGTTCCCCTGGCTCCAGTGGAGCTGTTAACCAATGGACTAAATAATTTGAGGAACACAGATTGGGGACTTCGCTACTCAGAATTTACAAGGTTTGCCAGCAACTCTGCTGAAAACAGACAGAAAAGAAGAGAGTGAGCTGAAGTTTTAGTGACAACAGGCAGGTCTGAATTCACTAAGTCATTGATACCACCAAAAGAGATTCTCTGGGAGAGCCTCTCTCGCTTTGGAGAAGTCTTAAGACAGTGACCAGTTTCATACTATCTTCCACACTACCCCTCACCTTTGAGAGAATTTCCTTGACAAAAGTCCAGACAGCTCCTGCCTTCTCAGCTTTCAAAGCCCTCCTTAGCACTCACCTCTGTCATCACCCTCCTGAATGCAGTGCATCAGCCAGCTGCCTCTGTGGCCTTTAAAAACTCCTTTGGAAATCCCCACTTTACTCTGAACAGTAAATCATCTCAAACGACTTGGAAATGTGAAAAATAAGTCTGACATTTTTGTCTGATTTTTGAAACAAAGTAACTCCATGGGCTTCTATACATTTAATGATGATTCTGATCATTCAATCATAAAACATATTGATAGAGAATGGGAGATATTTACCTTTTTAGTGGGCATTTTTATTTTAAGGAGTTCTGCTTCTCGACTGAGGACTTGCCAAGGTGCATGTATACGGACAAAACTCAGTCCTTGGCTCTTGTTCTGAAACATAAAAGAAAAGGGGTACAATGTATTTAACTATTCTTGTACACAGTGTAGTGCTAATATCTCAAGTTGTTAGCTCCAACTAAATCATTCAGCAGTAGGCAACAATCACAGGGAATAACCAACTTCTGCTGCAGAAAAGTGACATTTTCCTTAAAAGCTGAATCTTTCATGGTCTAAAATCCATTAATCTACTGCCTGTAGTGTAGCTGTGTGTGCACAGGATGACAGAAAGCTACAGGTCCAGATTTTGGAATGATGTAAATGTGAAACACCCAAGATACCACTTTTTTGTACATTGATATTTTAGAAGGGATCTGATTTCTTTAGTGGGCTTTTGTGTCCATCTGAGCCAACAAGATAAAAAAAAATATCTCTTGCTCTGGGTGGGTTTTGCTGTAGTTCTTATTTTCAGTTTTGCCCAACTATTTTCTGGATACTTCATCAGATCCTTTGCTATAGTTCTTATTTTCAGTTTTGCCCAACTATTTTCTGGATACTTCATCAGATCAGTGGTTCCTTACAGGGAATCAGGCCCAACATTTTTTGTTCTAAATATCTGCAGTTATAATAATCATAATCTGCAGAATAGCAAACCTAAAGAAAACATAAAAATTTAACTTCTGTACAAAGATATGAGCCTCATGTTAATGTAAATGATTGGTTATGCTGGTCAGAAACATAAAATGCCCAAAAGAGCTTTGGCACAGCCAAAAAGTTTTTTGCAAGCCGTGACAAAGATGTCCTGGTAGCACATCTGAGCTACAGAAAGGAACCTTGAGAACAGAAAGCAGCACCCCTTGGAAAAACATGAAAATTAAATGAAGGAAGGTTCAGGCAGCATTTTCCTCAAGGCACACAAAGAAATTGTACCAGTAAATCACAGGGATAAATGTTTGCTGTGGAAATGTAGGGAAGAAAAGTTGGGAGGGAGATTACAAAGCAAATATCAGAGAAATCAAGGCAATGACCAGCTGTCACACCATCTCTCATAGTGCAGCTCTTCTTTGAAGGGATTTCCTTGACAAAAATCCAACAGCTCCTGCCTTCTCAGATTTCAAAGCCCTCCTGAAATCTCTGCTCTGCCATCATCCTCCTGAACACAGACTGTCAGATGATATCCTTTAGGGAAAGGCATGGAAGTGGACACAAGAAGATTTTCAGGAGGAATTTCTTCACTGAAAGGGTGATCAGGCATTGGAAGGAGCTGCCCAGGGAGGTGGTGAATCCCTGGAGGTGCCCAAGGAATGACTGGATGTGGCAGTGCTCTGGGCTGGATGACAGAATGGTGACTGGTCAAAGGTCGGACTCAAAGATCTTGGGAGGGCTTTTCCAACCTCAGTGATCCTGTGATTCAAAGGCTTCCTTAAGGCCAAGATTAATGATCTTTGTGTGGCTGCTTCCATCTTTATGTAAATCCCAAATGTGTTTGCTGAATGTGTCCTTATGTGTCCTGATTAAAAATCAAAAATAAAAAGTTAGATGGAAATCCTACTATTAGTGCTGTCATTTTGCTCTTATTTCCCCTATAGGTGCAACATGAATTGTAAAAATCACTCCCTCGCCTTCAGCTAACATTTCTTCAGTGGACCAGTGCTATTTTAAAGAGCAGAATGAGCTGCAGAATCTCTCTTCCATCAGTCCGCTGGGGAAGTCAGCTTTAAGAGAAGAAAGGAAAAATTTACTGGGCATGAGCAGATGTTCTGGTAATTATTTGCTGAAAATAGATTAATAACAGATGAGAGGTTAAATTTCAGTGGGTGAAGATCAGGAGTTTCTTCTGAGCTTTTGGCTAAAATCAAGCACATGTCCCTGTCTGGGGGATTATATTCCATGTTGGCAAGAGGAAGGACAGTGTGATCTAATTGGTTGCTTCCACCTCAGGCTCATATGACTACACAGATTGCAAATAAAATTAGACAAATAATTTGATTGAAAAGACCAGATGAAGAATATGACCCTTGTATATTTGAACAAAAATAAATTGGAAAGTTCATGAAGTGATATCAGATGATGAGGAATCAGACCATTAAAAATCTTTAAAAAGTTTAAAAATCACCCCATTATGGGAAGTTGAGGTAATTTTAATAAACAGTAATGTAAAGTAAATTAAGTAGGGAAAACAGGACTAGGTGGCTACTGCTGCATCAAAAGATGCAGAGCAGTGGGCTGCTGGATGTTCACCTTGGGATTACTAGAACCACATCTCCCACATCTTCCTAACATTCAAATCAATCCAAGAATTTAAAAATAAACTTGAAACCATTCATTTAATATCATAGCTCAAGAGATGAGCCATCGAGCTAATTTTCTGTGGGCTCACCAAAATAAAAACCTATAGGATGACTCCTCTGATAAGATTCCTTTCCTCACTTTTCCAGGCTTCACCTGCAGCAGTTCCAGGTGTCTTTAAATGCCCTTTTTTCCTTATGATGTCTCGCAAGGATCTGCTTAATTAAGTTATTCCCAGAGGGTTTCTTGTATTGCCAATATCTCCAAAAGTTAGAACTTGCTTTCCTCCTTACCAGAGTGGATTTATAACTGTTTACTGGAGACACCCCCTAACTGCTGTGCTCTGATTAATCACCTGAAATGATAATTGTGCACATGCTCATCACTTTGATCTCATGAAATGCTGTCAGTCTTCTATTTTGAATGCTTGGAATCACTCCTGCTGATTCACTGTACTCTGGATGTGTCACTAAAGCCAACATGTGGTGCTGGCAAACATTGTTTTTGTTAGACCAGTCACTTGTTATTTAATACAGCCATCCTTAATCAAGTCCTTTTTCACTTGCAGCTGACGTCCCACAGGACTTTATCCTTGGCCCTGCATTGTTCCATGTCTCTATCACTACACTCCCCGATTATATTATTTAAATTACGAAGTATTCCTAGGCAGATGACAAACAGATCTGTCACTTTCATGATGCCTTTTTTTCCCTGTCAAATCTATATTCCATATTACAGACTTCTTTCAATAAGTTTCAAGAGTGGAAGTTTTTCAATAAATTCATTCAGAATTATTCAAGATATATTTATATCTTGGCTGCTTCTCTGTTTTCTGAAGTTGAATTCGGTTTTCCCATTTCAATAGGAAAGCTCAGCATTAAAGTCAAATGGAAGAAAGGTCTGCTTGGCTTTTCAATCAGCACATGAAGAAAAATGTATTGGGTATTTCTTTCAGTTTATCATGATTCTTAGCAATCTAAAGCAGGGCTACAATATCAGCCTATATTGCATTTTTTCTGTCTTGGACTGGAAATGCATAGGCTGAATAAAATTCAAATTTCTCCGAAGGAGAGTTTTTCTATCTTTCCTGCCTTAACAGTAAAACAAATGAGGATATGAATCAGCTGCAAGTCTAAGATTTATTGCAAACTTATCACCATCAAGGCCACAGCAGAACAAAAATGTATAACTACAGAAGATCTCACATAGATATATATAAAGTGATTATTCTTTTTATTGAAAGCTGAACATTTTGAAACACGGCTAGACAAGCATAATGAAGCAAAACTAAATTAATTTAGGCACCTCTAACATGAGCTAAATTATACGGTAGTAAAGGCATCAGATTTGTCAGTCACTATCAAGCCAAGAAAGGGCAAAACCAATGACTAGATTTTGGAAGAGACCCAGGCTTCTTTTTTTTTTTTAATGGTGAGCACACTGTTCCTAGGAACTTTGCAAATACAGAATTCGTTGCTGAATGCTACAGCTTAGTAAGTATTTCTTGTCATTTCCCTATCATGAAATCACTAATCACTCCATACTTAAGGAATACAGTTTATAAATAACTTACATATTAAATAAATAGTTATTTTTAAATACTAGTCTAAAGAAAAAAAAAAAATCTGTGGTGTATCTTAACAGGAAGAAAAAGTAACACCAAAGGGTAGAAAGAAGCTGAAAATAAGTTATTAACTAATGTCTAAGGGAGTCCAGGGAACTGCCAATCTTTCTAATGATTTTTAAAAGAATGTGCACAGGAAATGGAAAAGGCATAAATCGTAAAACCTGAAGCATGTAAACTTCTCAGGAAAAAAACCTCAAATAACTGAACTTTAAACATTTTATCCTTCAGTGATCATTAAATGGACAAAAAAATACTTGGGAGCAATATTTTAACGGCTCCAGTTAATATAATGAGACAACACAGGGAAAGCGACAGTGAAACAGTTACAATGAGAAAAAGAAAAGACAGGTCCCTATTAGCTCAGTAAAAGTAATCATCTTCCCATTAATTCTATCACCAAATGGATCCATCATGTCTGCAAAGGCAATTGTTCAAAATTAATGTCTGCTCTCCTGATACCAGCCCTGGAAATCAAGATAAATACCAAAGTGATGTGATATTGCAAATAAAAAGCAATTTCTTGTTATTATCCCAGAACTGTGGTCACCTTCATTTCACAAGAGCAAGCGAAGTGCTAAGCTGTTGGCCCCCATCACTGGTAGCACTGGATTGCATGACACAGCACTGCCAGATTCAGGGAGAGACTGTAAAAGTGGCTGTGTTTTCTGCCAAATAGACTAAATTTCTATCTGTGAAACAGTGTGTTTCTGTTCCTAGATCTTTGTGTCCAAGATATAAAATCAGTCAATGATAGCCAGTTCCACTAGGAAAAGGATGTGCAGGGCACTGGTCCAGGTGAGACAACAACAACCCCAAAATGTCTTTACATGGACATCTGAGTCCAGAGCAACTCCCTGCTCATGTTAGCTCATAGAAGAGGCTGTATCCTACAATTGTAGGCTGGTAATTTAATTCTGCCTCTTAGTTTATTAAGACAATGGAACTTCTCTCTATCAAAAGGCTTTTGTGAAGATAAATATGCTCCAGATTGAGAAGTGCTCAAATAAAGCAATAAACTAGTAAGACAGTATGGCTATATATAATTTTCATTTTTTCCTTCAAAAAACCCTTTTACCCTTGCCAAACTTTCCCTTTTCTATTTCCATTATTTCTCCAGGGTGTAGATTTACCTCAGTGC